TATACATAAATAATATTTGCTTATTGTGTAACTATTGCGTTATAAACATAATGCTAAATAAATAGCATATGAGAAAGTGGTTGTAACTACTTTATTATTTGAACTAAATTAAATATTATTTAGAGTAAGTAATAACAATTAATTAAACTTTATTCTTATTGAAATATCTTACCAGAAGATGTGACAAGTCCTGTTCTAAATACTGGTTTAAAAATTTTATATATTGAACTTTTCTCGAAGCATCGACTTTGCAAGACAGCCTAAACCACAAAGTTAAAATCTAATTTATTAATGTTTTTATATTATATTAAATATGTGTATTTATTTGTGCTATTTCCATATTCACATATGTATATTTCAGAAAATAATTTTTATTATTTAAAATAAAATATAAAAGTTACATACATAATAAAAATTTATATTATTTAATATATATAATAATAAATATTTCTTAATGTATATGTTTATAGAAAATGTTTATTCTTTATAATACATGTTTGTAAAAATCAAACATTATTCTTTTACCTTTACGTGTTCTCCGTCATATAAACCGATATATGCAGTATTTCCTACCCAGAATCGAAATGGAGATGAAAAATTATTTACTAATGTATTCGTAACTTGTTCAATATCTAAAAAAAACATTATATAAAAATATTTTTTTTATTAAAAAAAATAAACTTATTTTATATTAATATTAATAAATTCCACTTTAAAAGAATTAATTTTTAGAATTTTTGTATTATAAAATAATGAACAATAAAATAGTATACGATTTAACGTATAATTCGTTGTATGTAAGCTCTATGCATAGACACAATCAACTCATACGATGATTCTATAACTTGATTTATCGTGCGGTAGAAAAGAACTATTTCTTGTTCATGGTTATTTATTAGAAAATAGTAGGTCTTAAGTCACAATGTTAAACGGTAAGAATTTACTCAACATATATTATAATATTGCATATAATTGAATATAATAGTAATTGTATTGTGCAGTACACAGATTACGCAGGTGGATATGTTTTATGATTAGAAATTTAGTGTAAGCAATTTTCAAATTTTTATTATTGACTTTTAGGAAATTTATTTTCTTCTACTAATTTTAATTAATTATTTAAGCAAGTAATTAAAATAATTAATTACAAAATTGTAATGCAGATATATTTAAGTAAGATAATGTTCTGTTGTTTACAAATTTAATTTTTTGTTGGTTCTTTTAATTTTACTTTTGTATATACATTAAGTATATTATAATTTGTTATTACCACTAATATTTACTCTCAAAAAATAGGGAACACTTCCAACAAGTGGATATGCTTTTGGACCTGGGAAAGTGTTTACTTTTTTAATAAAAGATCGACGCCAGAAATTCGACAAAATGTAACTCACTCCAAGACAAATTAAAGTTATTAATATGACAGTTACAAACATTGCTGTATTTATTTTTACAACAATAACGACGTTATTCACAAACAATAGAAATATATGAGTTGGCACTGCGAACTGCGAACACCACTGATGTTATTTCTTTTAATTTTCGCTTTTAATACGCACTGTGACGAGTGGAATGGTAGAAGAAGTATTTATAG